CGCAACTGGTATGTACAAGACGCCTTAATCCACTTGTCCATCACGACCGGACATAATGAGGTGATAGCCGAGGCTATTTGAACCACCCCACCGCCGGCACTCGGATAGTAATCTTGGGCATAGCATTTTACCAAATCACCTCATTCTTTGGGGCACACGTGAGGAACACAAATGCGAACAAGCCTGAATGGTCCCCAGGACAATATGCAACTGAAAACTCACACCCCAGAAGTGACTCAAACCCATACTCCCAGGAGCCACGCAACTGGTATGTACAAGACGCCTTAATCCACTTGACCATCACGACCGGACATAATGAGGTGATAGCCGAGGCTATTTGAACCACCTCACCGCCGGCACTCGGATAATAATCTTGGGCATAGCATTTTACCAAATCATCTCATTCTTTGGGGCACACGTGAGGAACACAAATGCGAACAAGCCTGAATGGTCCCCAGGACAATATGCAACTGAAAACTCACACCCCAGAAGTGACTCGAACCCATACTCCCAGGAGCCACGCAACTGGTATGTACAAGACGCCTTAATCCACTTGACCATCACGACCGGACATAATGAGGTGATAGCCGAGGCTATTTGACCCACCCCACCGCCGGCACTCGGATAGTAATCTTGGGCATAGCATTTTACCAAATCACCTCATTCTTTGGGGCACACGTGAGGAACACAAATGCGAACAAGCCTGAATGGTCCCCAGGACAATATGCAACTGAAAACTCACACCCCAGAAGTGACTCGAACCCATACTCCCAGGAGCCACGCAACTGGTATGTACAAGACGCCTTAATCCACTTGACCATCACGACCGGACATAATGAGGTGATAGCCGAGGCTATTTGAACCACCCCACCGCCGGCACTCGGATAGTAATCTTGGGCATAGCATTTTACCAAATCACCTCATTCTTTGGGGCACACGTGAGGAACACAAATGCGAACAAGCCTGAATGGTCCCCAGGACAATATGCAACTGAAAACTCACACCCCAGAAGTGACTCGAACCCATACTCCCAGGAGCCACGCAACTGGTATGTACAAGACGCCTTAATCCACTTGTCCATCACGACCGGACATAATGAGGTGATAGCCGAGGCTATTTGAACCACCCCACCGCCGGCACTCGGATAGTAATCTTGGGCATAGCATTTTACCAAATCACCTCATTCTTTGGGGCACACGTGAGGAACACAAATGCGAACAAGCCTGAATGGTCCCCAGGACAATATGCAACTGAAAACTCACACCCCAGAAGTGACTCGAACCCATACTCCCAGGAGCCACGCAACTGGTATGTACAAGACGCCTTAATCCACTTGACCATCACGACCGGACATAATGAGGTGATAGCCGAGGCTATTTGAACCACCCCACCGCCGGCACTCGGATAGTAATCTTGGGCATAGCATTTTACCAAATCACCTCATTCTTTGGGGCACACGTGAGGAACACAAATGCGAACAAGCCTGAATGGTCCCCAGGACAATATGCAACTGAAAACTCACACCCCAGAAGTATTAATCCAGAAGTGGATTAAGGCGTCTTGTACATACCAGTTGCGTGGCTCCTGGGAGTATGGGTTCGAGTCACTTCTAGGGTGTGAGTTTTCAGTTGCATATTGTCCTGGGGACCATTCAGGCTTGTTCGCATTTGTGTTCCTCACGTGTGCCCCAAAGAATGAGGTGATTTGGTAAAATGCTATGCCCAAGATTACTATCCGAGTGCCGGCGGTGGGGTGGTTCAAATAGCCTCGGCTATCACCTCATTATGTCCGGTCGTGATGGTCAAGTGGATTAAGGCGTCTTGTACATACCAGTTGTGTGGCTCCTGGGAATATGGGTTCGAGTCACTTCTGGGGTGTGAGTTTTCAGTTATATATATATATATATATATATATATATATGTCGTACCTAGTAGCCAGAACTCACTTCTCAGCCTACTATGCAAGGCTCGATTTGCCTAATAAGCCAAGTTTTCCTGAATTAATATATTTTCTCTATTTTTTTTCTTATGAAATGATAAAGCTACCCATTTCATTATGTATGAGGTCAATTGTTTTTTATTGGAGATAAAATTAAAGTAGATATATGACCGAACCTAACCAACCCTACCTAACCTAACCTAACCTATCTTTATAGGTTAGGTTAGGTTAGGTAGCCGAAAACGTTAGGTTAGGTTAGGATAGGTAGGTTAGGTTGTCGAAAAAACATTAATTCATGAAAACTAGGCTTATTAGGCAAATCGGGCCTTGCATAGTAGGCTGAGAAGTGAGTTCTGGCTACTAGGTACGACATATGTATATATATATATATATATATATATATATATATATATATATATATATATATATATATATATATATATATATATATATACACATACACATATATACATATACACACACATCCACATATACATATATACCCACTCATACACACCCATATACACACACATGCATACATACACACCTACATACTCAGTTTTCCAATTATGGGGGGAAGGATATCTGGTCAGTATCTCATCTAGGAATTATATACTGTAGGGCGGGGTTTTCATCCAGAGAATCGAGGCTCTTGGGCCACCAGCTGTGGGAGCGGGGCGTCTCATCTTAGAGCAATCTTTCTAACATTGGGTCCTCTAACATTTCGATGGTGTTCCACACCCTGATGGCTTGGTGCTGCAGTCTGATGTTTAGTGGCTGTATGTTCAGGAGTTCATGGAGCTCCTGGATTCTCTGATCATAAGGTGGACGGTGTTTTGCTGCTCTCCTTAGCGCCTTATTTTGTACTGCTTGCAGTTTCTGCATGTTAGTTTTCTTTATGGTGTGTAGTGGTACTGGGGGAAACTCTAGATGCGGCCGAACTAGAGCCTTATATAGGTGGATCTGAATGTTAGTACTGAGGCTTCGGAATCTTCTCAGTTTTCCTAATGCTGCTTTGGCTTTGTTTAGTCGGTGCCTTACATGAATTTGTATCCCTGTTCTATTTATCATAATCCCAGTATTCTGCCTACCTTCACATATTAGTGCCTATTGTAGGCTCAGACACCCACTGGCAGGCCTAGGGTGCCTAGGGTGGAGGGAAGGGTGAGGGTGAGTGTGTGAGAGGGAAGGGTAAGGATGAGTGTGAGGGAGGGAGGGAAGGTGTAAGGGAGGGAGAAAGCAGAAGCAGAGTTGATGAAGCGAGAAGGAAGGCCGCCAGCACCTGAGGGAGTCTTCCTCACCTACACTACACTCCCTTGGTAATTACCCCAGATCCTTGGCCCGTGTCCCCTGGTGTGTCACACTCCAGGTACACTACACCTGGTGTGTCACACCCCAGGTACACTACACCTGGTGTGTCACACCCCAGGTACAAAACACCTAGTGTCTCACACCCCAGGTACACTACACCTGGTGTGTCGCACCCTACACCTGGTGTGTCACACCCCAGGTACACCCTATTCCTGGTGTGTCACACCTCAGGTACACCCTACACCTGGAGACCTATAGTGTCTCACACCCCAGGTACACTACACCTGGAGACCTAGTGTCTCACACTCCAGGTACACCCTACATCTGGAGACCTAGTGTCTCACACTCCAGGTACACCCTACACCTGGAGACCTAGTGTCTCACACTCCAGGTACACCTTACACCTGGTGACCAATAGTGTCTCACACCCCAGGTACACCCTACACCTGGAGACCAATAATGTCTCACACCCCAGGTACACCCTACACCTGGAGACCTAGTGTCTCACACCTCAGGTACACCACAACAAGTGGGGCATACAGATGTCCTAATACAAGCCCCAACCTTGGGAAAAATTAAACAGTCCATTGAATTCCTTGGAAGGAAATGTGTTGAACTCGGTTACACTCTCGCCACAAACAACACAAAAGCATACTCCCATCACAAGCGGGGAGAAAATGAAGAACTACAAATTAATGGTGTAACACTTGAGTGGGTTGACCACTATCGGTACCTTGGCGTCACTGTCGGCTCTCTCAAGGGGAAGAAAGCGAAGCTCAACCAGCTCATAAGAACAAGTCGACTCAGGGCACTGAGAGCTATGACCTGGAATGGGTACGGGGCCTCCATGGCCGTGCTGAAGGTGATGTGCACAGCCGATGTGCACTCCGTCATAGACTATGCCGCACCAGTTTTATGCACTACTCCCAAAAACATTATGAAAACGCTTGAAAACATACAAAATGAAGCCATGACAATCATTCTTGGAGTCCCAAAAACTGCCAAATCGTCTAATCTACGGGAGGAGTTTCCCTCCCCAGTGTTAAAAGCAGAATTCAGGAAATGAATGGTAAGCCTGCAATTAAGATAGCCAAAGATCCCCATTACAATGATATTGCCAAGACAGGTTATGTGATAATGGTACTCCAGGTACACCTGGTCAGCAGCCACAGTGGTCCCTGGTCAGCAGCCACAGTGGTCCATGGTCAGCAGCCACAGTGGTCCATGGTCAGCAGCCACAGTGGTCCCTGGTCAGCAGCCACAGTGGTCCCTGGTCAGCAGCCACAGTGGTCCATGGTCAGCAGCCACAGTGGTCCCTGGTCAGCAGCCACAAGGGTCTCTGGTCAGCAGCCACAGTGGTCCATGGTCAGCAGCCACAGTGGTCCATGGTCAGCAGGCACAGTGGTCCATGGTCAGCAGCCACAGTGGTCCCTGGTCAGCAGCCACAAGGGTCTCTGGTCAGCAGCCACAGTGGTCCATGGTCAGCAGCCACAGTGGTCCATGGTCAGCAGGCACAGTGGTCCATGGTCAGCAGCCACAGTGGTCCCTGGTCAGCAGCCACAGTGGTCCATGGTCAGCAGCCCTAGGGTCCCTGGTCAGCAGCCACAGGGGTCCCTGGTCAGCAGCCACAGGGGTCCCTGGTCAGCAGCCACAGTGGTCCATGGTTAGCAGCCACAGTGGTCCATGGTCAGCAGCCCTAGGGTCCCTGGTCAGCAGCCACAGGGGTCCCTGGTCAGCAGCCACAGTGGTCCATGGTCAGCAGCCCTAGGGTCCCTGGTCAGCAGGCACAGTGGTCCATGGTCAGCAGCCACAGTGGTCCCTGGTCAGCAGCCACAGTGGTCCCTGATCAGCAGCCACAGTGGTCCCTGATCAGCAGCCACAGTGGTCCATGGTCAGCAGCCGCAGTGGTCCCTGGTCAGCAGCCACAGTGGTCCATGGTCAGCAGCCACAGTGGTCCCTGGTCAGCAGCCACAGTGGTCCCTGGTCAGCAGCCACAGTGGTCCCTGGTCAGCAGCCACAGTGGTCCATGGTCAGCAGCCCTAGGGTCCCTGGTCAGCAGCCACAGGGGTCCCTGGTCAGCAGCCACAGGGGTCCCTGGTCAGCAGCCACAGTGGTCCATGGTCAGCAGCCACAGTGGTCCCTGGTCAGCAGCCACAGTGGTCCATGGTCAGCAGCCACAGTGGTCCCTGGTCAGCAGCCACAGTGGTCCATGGTCAGCAGCCACAGTGGTCCATGGTCAGCAGCCACAGGGGTCCCTGGTCAGCAGCCACAGGGGTCCCTGGTCAGCAGCCCTAGGGGCCCTGGTCAGCAGCCACAGGGGACCCTGGTCAGCAGCCACAGGGGGCCCTGGTCAGCAGCCACAGTGGTCCCTTGTCAGCAGCCACAGGGGCTCTGGTCAGCAGCCACAGGGGGCCCTGGTCAGCAGCCACAGGGGACCCTGGTCAGCAGCCACAGTGGTCGCTGGTCAGCAGCCACAGGGGCCCTGGTCAGCAGCCACAGGGGGCCCTGGTCAGCAGCCACAGGGGCCCTGGTCAGCAGCCACAGGGGGCCCTGGTCAGCAGCCACAGGGGCCCTGGTCAGCAGCCACAGTGGTCCCTGGTCAGCAGCCACAGGGGACCCTGGTCAGCAGCCACAGGGGGCCCTGGTCAGCAGCCACAGGGGCCCTGGTCAGCAGTCACAGGGGGCCCTGGTCAGCAGCCACAGTGGTCTCTGGTCAGCAGCCACAGTGGTCCATGGTCAGTAGCCACAGTGGTCCCTGGTCAGCAGCCACAGTGGTCCCTGGTCAGCAACCACAGGGGTCCCTGGTCAGCAGCCACAGGGGTCCCTGGTCAGCAGCCCTAGGGTCCCTGGTCTCCAGCCACAGTGGTCCCTGGTCAGCAGCCACAGGGGGCCCTGGTCAGCAGCCCTAGGGTCCCTGGTCAGCAGCTACAGGGGTCCCTGGTCAGCAGCCACAGGGGTCCCTAGTCAGCAGCCCAAGGGTCCCTGGTCAGCAGCCCAAGGGTCCCTGGTCAGCAGCCCAAGGATCCCTAGTCAGCAGCCACAGGGGCCCTGGTCAGCAGCCACAGGGGTCCCTGGTCAGCAGCCACAGGGGCCCTGGTCAGCAGCCACAGGGGTCCCTGGTCAGCAGCCACAGGGGTCCCTGGTCAGCAGCCACAGGGGTCCCTGGTCAGCAGCCACAGGGGTCAGCATCATGCCCCTGGTATCAGGGGCGTCATTATTAATGTTGGTGATGTTATACACTGTTTTGTAAACTCTCACCCTGGGTTATACCTCACGGATACGTCGTGGTAAACCAGGGTAAGGGGAGGGGGTTGCAGTTTACACCAGGAGATCCCTACATGCCCAACATATTCATGTGGGTATCCCTGTTCATTTTAAAATTATGTTCTTCAATACGTGGATAAATCCCAGAACATCCATTCCAGCGCCTGTAGACACCACTGGTCACGGTGCTTCACCAGTCAACTTCCTGGTGGACAATGTTAACTCATCAGTCATCACGCAGTCTTCACCACACTGGCTATCTCGACTGATCGGGCTGAGGAATCATCTCAGACAACCTGGCTTTTGGACAGAGGCAACTGGCCAGCTCTGCTCGCCGAGCTGGGAGCAGCGGAGTGGAATACCTTGCTCCGGGGCGATGTAAACAAACACATGCCTTTCACTGGTCGAGTACTGGACCTCCAGCACAGCACATCCCTCACCGGCAGGGCACGCTGAACCCCAGCCTTCTGGGGCCAGATTCACGATGCAGTTACGCAAGCACTTATGAACCTGTACATATTTTCTCAATCTTTGGCGGCTTTGTTTACAATTATTAAACAGTTAATGAGCTCCGAAGCACCAGGAGACTGTTTATACCAATAACAACAGTTGATTGGGAAGTTTTCATGCTTGTAAACTTTTTTTTATAAATGTAACCAAAGCCGTCAAAGATTGAGGAAAGATGTACACGTTCGTAAGTTCTTGCGTAACTGCTTCGTGAATCTGGCTCCTGGAGAGCCATGGCTTGACTCTCAATGGCCGGTGGGTGTAGCGACCTGCAGCAAGACCTGGAGGAGATATATAAGCTGTCTTGCTGCTCACAACCTGCACATTCATGGAGACGTTTGTCATCAAATAAAAGAAGTCCAAAATTGGACTATCTCCGGATTGTAATCAGAAAGAAAAAACTTCCATCGGGATGTGTTAGAACCAAAATGAGGTGGTCTGAGGTTATAGATTAGCAGCAGGAATGTTCATCTGAGCACACACATCCCGTCACTAAACCCAGAAGATGGAACTTTTGCAGCCAGCTATCAGGAAAAGGCTGACCTACTGGCAACAAATTTTGCTTTCAAGATGCAAATGCCTGATCCAGTACAACAACCTCAACAGCTTGATACAACTACTGTGTCTAAGTTGTCTGAAGTAGTCATTCAACAGGTGGTGTCCACCATCTACTCAAGTCACTGGACACGGGATAAATCAGTTGATATGACTAGGCTTTATGCTTGAACCATAACCTCATGAAAACAACTTACTCAAATTACCATACTGAGGTATGCATAATATATTAACAAAAGTTACTGATTATTCCAAAGAGTTGCAGAAGGAAAGCCCATGGTAATTGAATGTTTTTATGACACTACCCTGACATATTATAATTTACCAGTAGGCTATTTCTTAATTTGAATATCGCCTTATATGTAGAATCCTTATTTGCATTTTGTAATGCAATAATAATGTTGAATTATTTTGCTTATCAAGGTAGGCAATTTCAGTTAAGAGACTATAAGTAGTGCTGAACTCTTACATATAACTATAATCATTAGATTATATAAGAAATCTTCAGTAGATTCCAGTGATTAATCTTAACTAAAAGTTTACTTTACGTAAATAATGAAGAGTTGATGTAATATTATAGTGTTATGTTAAATTTTGCCAGATGGCGGTCGGAGGTATTTGGCAAACATTACTGACCCCAGAATGGACCCCAGAGTGGACCCCAGAGTGGACCCCAGAGTGGACCCCAGAGTGGACCCCAGAGTGGACCCCAGACTGGACTCCAGACTGGACTCCAGCGTTGGCGTTTTGTGGGTCTCTACACACACACAGAGGAGGGGCTGGTGGCTGAGTGGACAGCGCTCTACACTCGTGGACCTAGGGACCGGGGTTCGATCCCTGCACCCGGCGGAGATAGATGGGCAGAGTTTCCTTAACCTTGATGCGCCTGTTACCTAGCAGTAAATAGGTACCTGGGAGTTATAGACAGCTGCTACTGGCTGCTTCCTGGGCGTGTGTGTGTGTGTGGAGGAAAGAAAAAAATTGTTAGTAGTTAGTAACAGTTGATTGATTGGCAGTTGAGAGGCGGGCCGAAAGAGCTCAACCCTCGCAAGCACAAATAGGTGAATACAAAAAGATGAATACACACACACACACACACACATAGCAGTTCACACAACTTTGCAGTTCTTGGACCTATACTTTTCCTGATATATGTGAAAGATCTCCCAGAGGGAATAGACTCGTTCCTCTCAATGTTTGCTGATGATGCAAAAATTATGAGGAGGATCAAGACAGAGGAAGGTAGTATGAGGCTACAAGATGACCTAGACAAACTGAAGGAATGGTCCAACAAATGGCTACTAGAGTTCAACCCAAGTAAATGTAAGGTAAAGAAACTAAGAGGAGGAACTAGGAGGCTAGGCACTGGATACCGAATGAGAGATGACGTCCTTCACAAAACGGACAGAGAGAAAGATCTAGGAGTTGATATCACGCCAAACCTGTCTTCTGAAGCCCACATCAAACGAATAACATCAGCGGCCTATGAGAGGCTGGCTAACATCAGAACTGCTTTCAGAAACCTGTGTAAGGAATCCTTCAGAACCTTGTATACCACATATGTAAGGCCATTCCTGGAGTATGCAGCCCCAGCATGGAGCCCGTACCTTGTCAAACACAAGACAAAGCTGGAAAAAGTTCAGAGGTATGCCACAAGGCTAGTCCCAGAACTAAGAGGCATGAGTTATAAGGACAGGCTGCAGAAACTACACCTCACGTCGCCGGAAGACAGAAGAGCTCAGGGAGACATGATCACCACATACAAAATTCTCAGGGAAATTGACAGGGGTAGACAAGGATGGATTATTTAACACAGTTGGTGCACGCACGAGGGAACACAGGTGGAAGCTGAGTGCTTCCACCTGTGTCTCCTTTCTAACGTCTCTGTGGCTCACCCAAATGAGCCACAGAGACATTAGAAAGAACTTTTTCAGTGTCAAGAGTAGTTAGTAAATGGAATGCACTAGGAAGTGATGTGGTGGAGGCTGACTCCATACACAGTTTCAAATGTAGATATGATAGAGGCCAGTAGGCTCAGGAATCTGTACATCAGTTGATTGACAGTTGAGAGGCGGGACCAAAGAGCCAAAGCTCAACACCCTCAAGCACAACTAGGTGAGTACAACTTGGTGAGCAAACACACACACACTGGTAGCGTGGGGTAGGGGTCTGGTACCTGAGCGGACAGCGCGCAGGGCTCGTAATTCTGTGGCCCGAGTTCGATTCCCGGACGAGGCAGAAAAAAATGGGCACAGTTTCTTTCACCCTGATGCTCCTGTTACTGGACAAATATTGCAAATCAAATGCAAAATCATTCATAGATAACTGGGAACACTTCAATGAAAGACGTGACAGGTATGCTCGGGATGGGGTGCATCTATCTAGGGCTGGGGGGGGGGGTTGTTGATGTTGCGAACTCGTTGGAACGTGTGGTGGGAGGGGTTTGTTTGGGTTTAAACTGTTAATAGATAGTGGTATGGGAATTAATAGGGAGGAAGGAGGTATTAAAAGTACGTGTTTGCGGGAGAAACTACTTAGCAAAATGATCAAGGAAGGAGTGGTGTCTCAAAATAACAATACACTTAGGGTATATTACACTAACAGTAGAAGTCTAAGAAACAAAATAAACAAATTAAATGCTCTTGTCTGCACAGAAAAATAATTATTGCACTTACCAAAATGTGGATGAACGTAGAAAATAGAGAACTATTAGCTGAATATGTAATAAATGGACTTAAACTATTTCACAGAGATATGTTAGACGAGGAGGGGGAGTCTTGATTATCTTGAGATGATTTCTTGGCTTTAGTGTCCCCGCGGCCCGGTCCTCGATCGACCAGGCCTCCACCCCGAGGAAGCAGCCCGTGACAGCTGACTAACTCCCAGGTACCTATTTACTACTAGGTAACAGGGGCATTCAGGGTGAAAGAAACTTTGCCCATTTGTTTCTGCCTCGTGCGGGAATCGAACCCGCGCCACAGAATTACGAGTCCTGCGCGCTATCCACCAGGCTACGAGGCTTAGGAGGAGTAGCCATATATGTTTGGGACAATTTGAAATGTAGTCTAAAAGAGGGAATCAAAATTGAGCCACACACAAACTATTTAGCTAGAATTAAACGAAAAAGCACACAATCTTATAATAGGAGTTATATACAGGTCACCAAACTTAAACAGAATGGAAGCAGAGCATCTATAGGATGAAATATCTAGAGCATCTAGGTCTAACAGTATTTGTGTCATGGGTGACTTTATTTTTAGTGGAATAAACTGGATTAACAGAAAATGGGAATAACGAAGCAGAAGATTTTCTATAATTAATTGACGATTGCTTTCTTACGCAACACATTAAGGAACCAACACGGAAAAATAATATTTTAGATTTAGTGTTAACAAACAGGGAAACTCAAATTAAGGACATGGAAATAGGGAGTGAACTAGGGAACAGTAATCATAAAGAAATCAGATTTACCATGGAATGGAATAGATCTGTTGGAGAAAATTCTGTTAAAGTGCCAGTTTCGAAAAGCTGATTTTAATAGCCTAAGAAATTTTTGGGGTAAAATAGATTGGAAAATCTTGGG